TGCTGTTCTTCCTTTTGTTTATTCTTCCGATACCGTATATCTTGACTCCGAAGACACCGAGCCGGGGGAAGGAATCGAACCATCTCCTATCTGACTAAGAGTCAGATGCATAGAACCACTACGCCATCCCCGGCTCATTGATTCCGTAATTTCAATATGCATTTGCTTGAGTACGAGGTAAGTAGTAGATGTAAATCAATCGGCAGTTATAAAAAAAATTTTTACGTAATTCTCGAAATTTTCGACCTTTCTATAATTCTATATGATGGTGGAAATGATCTAGATGATGGTGAAAATGATCTAGATGATGGTGAAAATGATCCAGATGATGGTGAATTTGATCTAAATGAATTATATTGTAACAGTCATCATCAGCAAGTTTACATCATTTGAGACTTTAATTATAAATTCATAGTAATGAATTCATAGTAATGAATTCATAGTAATGATGGTATTACTAGTATTACTGGTATTACTATGACAGCATAAACGATTCCATAACCTAATAATCAGTACGTAGATGCAACATATATATCAGGAATATCAAGTACAAAATACCAAGTGTCAATATTTAGTAGTGATATTAAGTATGAATATACGGTAACAAATAGCTAATTTATTTATTTTAATTTAAAGTATAAATGAATGTAATGCGTTAAAATTATTTGTAAGCTCAAGTCATTAATACTGCAATTAGGACGAATATAAATATCAATTTGCTTGAGTACGAGGTAAGTAGTAATGAGAATGATGTAGATGTAAATCAATCGGCAGTTATAAAATATTTTGTTTTTACGTAATTCTCGAAATTTTCGACCTTATTATAATTCTAAACTGTTTATGTTGTCATAGTAATACCATCATTACTATGAATTACTATAAATTTCGAATGAAAGTCTCAAATGATGTAAACTTGCTGATGATGACCGTTACATATAATTCACATTTTTGAACATCATTTTGGAATTATAATAAGGTCGAAAATTCCGAGAATTACGTAAAAACTAAATATTAAAAACTGCCGATTTAATTCCATCAAAATCAGTCTCATTACTATTTACTTTCGCTGCAAATGTATTATGTTCTCGTTATTGACTGCCGACAATACTCTTGAGAAATGTGTTCATGTACTTTCGAAAATATTCTTCTAGTAAGCTGATATATACGGTATATATAGACAAGAACTTGTGTACTTTACATTAAATAGTAGCTGTAAGCAATAGAGGAGAACACTATATACTAAGCAAAATACAAAGCAAAATAATTAGAATTATTTGCACTATTTGATGTCAACGCCGAATGATTCTATAGAATGAGATGTGCATTATGTCCCTGATTTGTTTCAAGGAAAAGATTCATTAACGAAAAAAACGTCGCCGCCAACGGATGATCATCGTTCTGAATAGTTTTTTGTATGTTGACGACGGTAGAACAAATATGATAAAGACGAAAACTGCTGGAATGAACGAAACTAAATACCCTAACAGATACAACCAAGGACTTCGAGATGCTTTCACACATCCCGAAAATAATGTGATTAAAAGTCGAGGAACTGATAAAATGACCAGCACAATAGGACTGACAATAAGTTGTTTATTTTTTTTCAATTGTGCAAGAAATTGTTGTGCATAACGTTGCTGATTTTGAATTACTACTCGTCGACGAGCCAAACTGAATATGATGAAGACAGCAGAGAATAGATTCATCAAAAACGGAACAATAAAATGAAAAAGTTGAATGGTTGTAGAATAATTTTGAACCGACTGAGAATAATGAAATACACACCAAACACGTTGCTCTTCGTAATCATCGAATAAACCACGATAGATGAATTCATGACTCATCGAACCCAGAATAACGAATGGTAAAAGACGAAGTGTCCATCTTGCAATAAATTTACTCTTGCTCTTATTAAAATGAATTCCTTTTATAACTGTTATCACTCGTTCAATAGCCACAAAAGCATTGAGCCAATTGCTGATATATAAAAAGAGTTTCAGAGCTATCTCAATTGATATACATCCTCCAAGAAGAATATGACGATCGATGCTTTGATAAGTATGAGTAATTACAACGAACCAGAATTTCATTGTCAATGTACTAATAGTAAGGCCAGAAACGATCGATGATACATGAAGATACATTCCAGAGCCAGTTTGCCGACAATTTGGATGACGAAACACCAAATAAGTGAGAAGACTATTCAATAAACCAACTACAAATAAGAACATAATGATAGCTGAACTCGACTGAACGATAATTGATTGATTTCTGAAGGTTACATTTGGTTGAATTGCATAACGCAGCATGTCATCCAATGTCAATCCGATCCCTTTGGCATAAAATTGACAACGATTGCCGAAGAAACAATCAGTGCATACACATAGAATGCTCTCGGGGCATTCTGCTTTATGTTGCAAACATATTCCACCGTTCTCACAATACAGGTCATCTATACACTCGAAAGTCATATTAGAATCAAATAAAAAACAGTTACTGTGGTGTTCTACAGTACATAGGCACATGTATAATTCATCCATAAAACATTGTAACCCCACATTATTTTGACATGGAACATGATAATTCTTTAATCGATGAATTCGTGGTAATGTAAGTAATTTAGGGCTGAACAGTTCCTGATAGGGAACACATCTTTGCGATGGACCAATTGTTGTTGATATGTTCGTTGATTTGTTCTGCTGAAGAACAGCCAAATAATAATTTATATCAGTCTTGAGAATAACTATTCGGAATGCACTACGAGTATAGAATGTAATAATGTTCTGAAACATCTTCACTTTCTGAAGTATGATATGTAGCAGTTCTGGCTGTCTATACGTGGTATCTTGATATATAAAGGCGTATGTGTACGATGGAACTTCCATATTGAGAAAGGAAACTTCTAATTTCGGTTTGATTTGTTCACATCTTACGCCAAAAAAGGATTGAGGACAAATACATACATAACTCTTGTTAATCATTCTTTCATCGATCATTACACATCGACCGTCATTTTCACAAAATTTTTCTGGGCATGACTGGTCGAGGAGACACCGTGGACCAAACTTACCGAGACGGCAAACACAGATGGGTCGATTTTGAATGGTACCAACACAGATCGAGTTCGACGAACAGTTAGTGCAATCGATCTGAATATGACATTTCGCACCAGACCAACCGGAATAACACAGACAAAAAAAATGTTCTTCATTGAGATATTTTACGCAAGTACCTTTGTAACATTCAAGAGGACAGTGGCTATGATGTAATGTTCGAGAAATTGGTAAAGTTAAAAATACGGCTAGCCGATTGACCGGCAAAAATAGAAATGGAACTTTTAAATGCCAACTTGCTATATAGGTTAACGAATTCTTGTCGAATGCATCGATATGAATACTGCAGTTTTTCGAATTGTTCTTCGGTCGGGCCGAATACAAAAGATACATGCTCAAAGATCGACCGCAGCCATCTTTTGGTAAATAAGTCAATTGATGATATGAATAAATTTCTTGTCGATCATTGTCATCTTCAAACAAACTAATAACAATTGTATAGGGTAACTGACGTTCAACCAGTCCTAATCTGAGAGTCACACTGACACGTTGATTTTGAAATTGACATCGATCGCCATAATAATTCGGTGGACAAAAAGATACAATACTAATATTGTCAAGTCCGAGCCAATGATAAACTTGCAGACCATAGTTACAAATGTTGGGCTGTGAAAACTTACCAGGTGAAGAGTATATGTATTGCTCATTCAATTGATTATTGACTGGATTGATTTGTACAATTGGTAATGGAGGATAGATTGATGCCGTTTCTAGTGAAAAAGAAGGCTTCATTATAGAGCCAATTTGACAAAAGACATATTCTGCATCGGTAAGATTATGAAAATTTGATTTTTCACATAACTGTGAACGATGTGCACAAACGTTTTCATCATCACCCAAAAGACAATCTTGATTACCATTGCATAGTTCACCATGCTGAACACATATTCTGTCATTCGAACAGTAAAATCCGCGAATTCGATAATGTTCATTGCTCTCTCGACAATATTCAATTTCATCGGATGCTCCAAGACAATCGATGATTCCATCACCAACTTGATTGGCAGGTAAACAGATCAATACCGATCTATTTAATGAAATACAGGGAAGAAGGTCTTTAGGACAAATTGAACGGGTACAGTTTTCTTCGTCTTCACCATGTGGACAACTCCAAAATCCGTCACAACGTGTGTAGATATTGTTGCATTGCCAATCTTCACAATCAGTCTCATCCGAGTGGTTTCGTCCATTGATTATCATAGGGGACAGATCGGTGACTCGATCGCAGATTTCATAAAATAAGATCTCATCGAAATTGTTCTGTCTTCCAAATTGGCAAATATTTCGTAGTAAGGAAATCGATTGGCAATGAATTTCATTAAGACATTGTAATCGAAATGGATGATTCAATGAACAACTCAATTCAGATACTTGTTCATCATCATTCAAAGCACAATCCGATATGCCGTCAATGAGGCGATATTTGGAAATGTATTTCGAAGAATTCTTACATGCATACAACGACGAGTTATGTGGTTCAATGTTGTGATAATGAAAACTGATACAACCATGAAAATAAGGTTTGATTGAATCAATGATCGATTTCCAGTCTTTTAATTCGACATCCGATTTAAGGCCCATTTCATAACGATGCCGACAAGTCAAATTTCCATGATAAAATGTAGGCCTGAGAAAATCGCACAGTTGTTCATCATAACAAACATAATCGGGTATGAGAGCTAATTCAAGACTAATATTTAAAATCTGTTTTGGGTAATATAAAAAGCGGACATGGCCTAAGAGCACAGGAATCGTAGGAAATTGAACAGGGTATTCACACGTTTCTAGTCCAGGAAGAACCTGAGAAAGGTTAACGAACTGTTCACATGATACTCCATTGATTTGATCGGTGATTTTACTGAGACAACATACAGCTATCCAGCAATCATATGCTAAATACCCTTGAACACTGAGTGATTGAGCCAGTAGGATATGTCGTCCGTTTTGACATTTATCAAAATCTTCTACACATTGTCCATCACCACATGGAAATCGACCTTCATCGGGGGGGCACGCATGTTCTGCGCACTCAAAAATATTCCTGCGAAGATATGCATTAGGACAATCAGTCTCAGCCCATAAATCCGATTTATCGAGACATTCAGCTTCATAAAATGGGTCGTCGAGAAAGATTCTCGATATGCACAATCCATTATAACATCGGTATTCATCTTCATTGCATTCGTTGATTTCTAATTCGAAACATTGACTTTCATCAACACCATTATTGAAACAATCAATTCGACCATTACTTATTTCACGCCAATCCAGACACATTGGTGCCGGACCACGATCACAATCTAAAAGAATGTAACATGTACGATGAGTAACAGCATCAGTCATATCAGATTGCCATAGAACATTTAGTGTCATGTCGGCAACATTCGATACTAGTTCAAATGAATATTGACAACGCACTCCAAACCATGGCGGTGTACAATTGAAGAATAGTTCATTCAATTCAATAGATCTGATCGATTGATCAACATAATATTGATATCGCTCAGCAAGATCCATCGAAGATGACCATAAGAGGACTTCATGTGAAGAAATATTCAAGCGACGTAACTCATCAAAAGTAAAATTTTGTTGATGCATATTGACAAAATCGATTATTATCGGATTTTTATCATCGGTTGGACAAATACAATATTTGACAATGTCACGAATGAAAGGATTAATTGGAAAGTAATACAGACAATCAAATTGAAAAGGGTTCGTATCGTAAAAAATCGATTGCAATTCAGAGAATGCGCACAAAAAACATACTAGACGCTGAGAAGTTAGCATTAATAATATTATGATAATATTGAACTGAAATGATTGAGTCGACATACATTCCACAAACTGATAACATTTTCTTTATTTTTCTTATTTTTCTCAGTGTTCATATGAAGCGTGTTCCTTCCGGAATATTTTTTTGTTTGTTAATAAGACCTGATATATTGAAATACAAGCGATAAATAATCATAACCGTCTGTGAATAATCTCATACATGGCGTAGTGAAAAAGAATGTAATAAAATGCTTATTTTAATGCCATTTTTATTAACTATCAGCTTGATTTTTCCAGTCTTCTTTTTCAATAAATAATCTCCAAAAGTGATATCAGTTTACTCAGATGGGGATTGACATGATGGCATGGCCTAGAAGTTGCCACATCAAAATGTTTTGGTTCGTTGAGATTTTACTGTGAGAATATTCTTTTCGACAAAAAAGTAATAAAATCTTCAAAAAAGCCGNGATTTTTTTATAATGCTAGACACAATAAAACACTGCATCATTGCATTCGCTCCGATCTCTTTTTCAGTTTGATACTAAAACTTTTTCCATTACAAATGAAAACTAATTTCTCCTCATGATGCAATGAAATTTAAGTTCTGAAGCAGTTGTTGAAAGATTCAAATTAAATAGTAATGATTTCTATGCTGAACTGTTCCCCAAGCAGACAAGTATTTGGAAAACCACTCTTGAATATACAAAAAATGACAGAACTCCAGCAAAAGTTGGTTTGTTTGTATGGGAATTGGGGTTCCCAACTGTGAACCAAAAAGGCCCATTTTTCGCCTCTCTTGTGCGTTTAAACGAGTTTTCAGTCAAAACACGTGTGAATACATTTAAAAAAGACAAAAAGTGGTGATTTTCTTCGTATTTGAGAACCCTACTTCTGATTCCGTCACGGATAGCGACTATGAAAAAAGAACCCCTTTTTGTCTTTTTCTAATGCACTTACTGTACATGCATTTACAAGCTTTTCATGGCTGAAAACGTGTTTAAACGCACAATAAGAGCGAGAAATGGGCGTTTTTCGCTTAAAATCAAGAATCCCAATTATCATTCAAACATGATCACTTCTCTCGGCTTTTCGTCGTTCTCTATGCATGTAAACGCGTTTTTGAAGGTTTTTGTCTGCTGGAGCGTCACTGAAATAGGCATTTTCACCTGCATATTTCTTGTGTTATCACTATACTTGTTTTCGTTGACCAGTTGCGAAAGAATATTTAGTTAAATGAATTGATAAAAACTACAGCACATGATACAATGTCGAATACTAAGTTGGGTGATTTGCGTGTTTTAGAGGTAGAACAAGATTTCAACATTAATTTCGAAAAAGTTAATGGAGAATTTTGTTGACTTCCACAAAAATAGTAGAACACTTTTACAATAAAACCTTGCACATCACAAGCTGTGATTTTTTATTTCTTGTTGATAAGCAAACGAAACGTCATTTATAGAACGTTTTTCAAGTTGAATGCATTATTGTATCCTTATTCTATGAAAAAAAGTTTTGCGTCACTAAACATAACTTCTTGGAAAAACGTTAGGGCTTAGCCCAATCACCCAACAAACCTTGATTATGCGACCAGGTATGGTAAATAAACTTTGAAAAGTATCAAGATGCAACAAAAATGTAGTGTCATGATGTTTTCTAAGCTACTCAAGCAGAAAAAAATTGTAGAAACACGCTTAAACACTCAAGATACAACGATGCTTGTGAGCCATGAACACCCATTGAAAACTAGAAGGATACTGTTTTTTGTAACTTGCAGATGGTGAAATAACAAAAACTCCAGTTCTTGAGAGTATAAATGCATCTATTTAAATATAGAATGAAAACGTATTGATACGCTGACGAACTAGATATTTTAACGTTACTCGAGAAAATTTCATAAAAGGCATATTTTTATTAGAAAATGTGCTGAGTCGTAAAAATATGATTGGTTTCAATTTCACAGTAGACATAATTTCTTACAGGACAACATAGATTTTTCAGCGAAGACTGTTGTTTTTTACGATCAAATAGAAAAAAAATGACGTTTTAAGTTTTTGGCATAACTCTCAGTCATATATCTGTGCTATGTTTCCATTATTCAACTTGTAATTTGTGGATTGTTTCTAAATAAGATTCTCGATCATATAGCAATTAATTAATGACAATAGATGAACATTTGTCATGAGATTATCATCTATAAATTATGTTTTCAGTTTATTTAGTGATGAACACAAATATATGAGTGACAGTCTGTGCAAAGAGAAAAATAGATGAGCTTGATCATAACAAACATAGTTTTTTATATATTGCATATCGTCGTTTCCTACTGAAATTTTATATTAGTTGCATACTGCTTTGAATGTTAGAGACGATTAGAAATATACATTATGGGAACAAACAGTGTACAGATGAACTGTTAGAGAGGTCACCTATAGTCTGTATTTTCCGTCTTATGTTCCAAGGGGAGGATGGGGGAACGGTCTTCTGAAGATTTTATTACTTTTTTGTCGAAAAGAATATTCTCACAGTAAAATCTCAACGAACCAAAATATTTTAATATTGCAATTGCTATACCTTGCTATCATACCAATCCATCTTTACATCCAATAATATTATTTCTCAAGCTTATTGATAGAGAAAGAAGACTGGAAAGACCATGTTCATAACTATAAAAAAAATATGAAAATAAATAAGCATCTTAACAGGTTCCTCTCCACTTGGCCATATGCAATATTATTCGAAGAGTATTATGATTTATCTATCACTTGTATGTCAATATGTCACGTCTTATTAATGCAAAGAAAAGCGTATACCGGAAGGAGCACGCGCCATATGAATAGTGGAAGAACAATAATGCAAATGTTAATAGTTGGCTAAATACACGTCTACTCTATCATTTAAGTTTTATGTTATCACAGTATTACTAATGCTAAGTCTTCAGCATCTAATATGCTTTTGGTGCACATTCGTTGAGTTGCAATCGATCTTTTATGATACGGATCCTTTTCAATTTGATTGTCTACACTACTATTCAATGAATTTTGGTGTTGAAGACATTGTCAAATATTGTATTCGTCCAACCGATGGTCGAAATCCAACAATGAGCAATTTTGTCGGCCCGAATCATCGAAATTTCACTTTTGATGAATTGCAACGTTTGAATGTTACTTCACGTGATGTTCTCTTATGGTCATCTTCGATCGATCTTGCTGAGCGATATCAATTTTATATTGATCAATCGACTAAATCTAGTCAATTAAATGAACTATTCTTCAATTGTACACCGCCATGGTTTGGAGTGCGTTGTCAATATTCATTTGAACTAGTGTCCAATGTTGCCGATAGGATATTAAATGTTCCTTGGAAATCTGATATTACTGATGCTATTACTCATCAGACATGTTACATTCTTTTAGAATGTGATCGTGGTCCTGCACCAATATGTCTCGATTGGCGTGAAATATGTAATGGTCGAATTGATTGCTTCAATAATGGCGTTGATGAAAGTCAATGTTTCGAATTAGAAATCAATGAATGCAATGAAAATGAATATCGATGTTATAATGGTTTGTGCATATCCAAATTTTTTTTGGCAGACAAATCACATGAAGCTGAGTGCCTCGATCAATCGGATTTACCATCTCAACCTAATTGTCCCACTGCATCTCGTCACCAATATATTTTTGAGTGTGAAGAATATGTATGTCGGCCCGGTGAAGCTCAATTCCCGTGTGGTGATGGACAATGTGTAAAAGATTTTGATAAATGTGAAAATGGACGACATCTCCTATTGGCCCAATCACTCAGTGTTCAAGGCTATCTATCATATGATTGCTGGATAGCTATAGTTTGTCTCAGTAAAATCATCGATCAAGTCAACGGCGTATCATGTGAACAGTCCATTGACCCCTCTCAGATTCTTCTTGGATTAGAAACTTGTGAATATCCTGTTCAGTTTCCGACTATTCCTGTTCTCTTAGACCATGTGCGCTTTTTATACCATCCGAAACAGATTTTTAATATCAGTGTAAAATTAGCTCTCATACCCGATTATGTTTGTTATGATGAACAACTGTGCGATTTTCTCAGGCCTACATTTTATCATGGAAATTTGACTTGTCGTCATCGTTATGAAATGGGCCTTAAATCGGATGTCGAATTAAAAGACTGGAAATCGATCATTGATTCAATCAAACCTTATTTTCATGGTTGTATCAATTTTCATTATCACATTGAACCACATAACTCATCGTTGTATGCATGCAAGAATTCTTCAAAATATATTCCGAAATATCGACTTATTGACGGTATATCGGATTGTGTTATGAATGACGATGAACAAGTATCTGAATTGAGTTGTTTATTGAATCATCCGCACCGATTAAATTGTCTAAATGACATTCATTGCCAATCGCTTTCGTTACTACGAAAAATCTGTCAGTCTGACAGACAGGAACAATTCGATAAGATCTTATTTTATACAATCTGTGATCGAGCCGCCGATCTATTGCCTATGTTAATCGATGGACGAAACCATTCGGATGAGACTGATTGTGAACATTGGCATTGCAACAATATCTACACACGTTGTGACGGATTTTGGAGTTGTAAATATGGAGAAGACGAAGAAAATTGTACACGTCCAATTTGTTTTAATGACAGTCTTTCTTGTATTTCCTTATATAATACGACACTAAGCTGTTTGCCAGCCAATCAAGTGAATGATGGAATTATTGATTGTCTTGGAGCATCCGATGAAATTCAATATTGTCGACAGGACCATGGAAGTTCTCGAAGCCAAGGATTTTATTGTCAGAATGATGGCAAATGTGTCCGGCATAACGCTCTGTGCAATGGGAGGCAAGATTGTTCATTTGGTGACGACGAAATATTTTGCAACGATCATTCGCAGCTATGCAGCACAACAGATTTTGTTAATCTTACCGATGTAGAATATGTCTTTTGTCAAATTGGTGCTGCCAGAAAATCTTCTTTTTCATTAGACACGGCATCTATGTATCCTTCATTGCCAATTACACAACTGAATCCTGTCAATAATCGAAGGAATAAACAATACATACATACTTCACCTGATAAGTTGGCAACGCTCAAAATTTGTCACTATGGTCTAGATGTTAATCATTGGCTCGGGATTGGCAATATTAGTGTAGTATGCTTTTGTCCACCGAATTATTATGGCGATCGGTGTCAATATCAAAATCAACGTGTCAGTTTGACTCTCAGTTTAGGGGTTGTCGAACGTTAGCTACTCTATGCCATCGTTGTTCGTTTATTTGAAGATGATAATGATCGACAAGAAATTCATTCATCTCATCAATTGACTTACCTTCCCAAAAGGGCCTGCGGTCAACTTCACAAAATGTATCTTTTATATTCGGTCCGATCGAAGAACAATTCAAAAAATTACAGTATCCATATCGATGCATTCGACAAGAGCTCGCTGACCTACCAAGCGAGTTGGTATTTAAAAATTCCATTTGTGTTTTTGCCGGTGAATCGAATGGCCATATTTTTAACTCTACCGATTTCTCAGACACTACCTCGTTCCCACTGTTCTCTTCAGTGTAACAAAGGTGTTTGCATGAAATATCTCAATGAGAAGCGATTTTTTTGTCGATGCCACTCCGGTTGGTCTGGTGCACAATGTCATCTTCAGATCAATTGTACTAACTGTTCATCGAATTCAATCTGTGTTGGCTCAATTCAAAATCAACCCATCTGTGTTTGTCCTTTTCGCAAGTTCGGTTCGCGTTGTCTGACCGATCTATCATGTCCAGAAAATTTTTGCGAAAACAATGGTCGATGTGTAGTAGCCGATGGGAGAATGACCGAGGAAAGCTATGCATGCATTTGTCCTGAAGGATTTTTCGGCACAAAATGTGAAGAAATCAAATCTAAAATAGAAGTTTCCTTTCAAAATATCAAAGTTCCATTGTACGCATTCGCCTATATATATTCTGATGTAGAGTATATGCAACCAAGTCCGATACATGTCATACTTCAGAAAGTAAAAATGTTTCAGAACATTATTACATTCTATTCGCGATTTCGGTTCCAAATGGTTATTCTCAAGACTAATGTTGATTATTATTTAGCTGTGCTTCAGCCATATACATTACAAAACATATCAACAACGATTAGTCCAGCACAACAATGTGTTCCGTATCAGAAACTGTTCAGTCCTGAGTTACTTGCATTACCACGAATTCATCGATTAAAAAGTTATCATGTTCCATGTCAAAACAACGTTAAGTTACAATGTTTTATTGACGAATTTTACATGTGTCTATGTACTGTAGAACATCTCAGTAATTGTTTTTTATTTGATTCGGATATGTCTCTTGTGTGTAAAGACGATGTTTATTGTGAAAATGGTGGAAAATGTTTGCAAGATAGACAAGAGTGTCCGGAGAGTATTCTATGTGTATGCAGCGATTGTTTCTTCGGTAATCGCTGTCAATTTTATGCCAAAGCTATCGGATTGACATTGGATGACATACTGCGCTATGCAATTCAACCAAATATAACAATCCCCAACCAGTCCGCTGTCATTAAATGGAGTGCAGCTCTCGTTATGCTCATATTTATAATTGGTTTATTGAATAGTCTTCTCACGTATATGATATTTCATCATCCGAATTCTCGTCGAATCGGTTCGGGAATGTATCTGCATCTATCATCAATCATGTCTGGTCTTGTTGTTAGTCTATTGACAATCAAATTCTGGTTCGTTGTAGCTACTCATATTAATCAATCGGTGGATCGTCGTATTCTTCACGGAGGCTGTATATCAATTGAGATAGCTCTCAAACTTTGTTTGCATATCAGCAATTGGCTCCATGCTTGTGTGACCACTGAGCGAGTCATAACAGTTATAAAAGGAATCAATTTTAATAAGAGCAAGAGTAAACGCGTTGCAACATGGATAATTTGGCTTTTACCATTTGTCATTCTGGGTTCGATGAGTTATGAGTTCATCTATCGGAGTTTGTTCGATGATTATGAGGAGCAACGTATTTGGTGTGTATTTCATTATTCTCAATCGGTGCAAAAATACATTACAGCTATTCAAATGTTTCATTTTATTATTCCGTTTTCGATCAATCTACTCGCTTCTATCTTTATCATATTCAGTTTGGCTCGACGCCGAGCAGGACTTCAAATTGGGCACCGTTATACACGACAAGTTCTTTCACAATTCAAAGAACACAAACAGCTTGTTGTCAGTCCTATTGTGTTGGTGATTCTATCATTTCCTCGACTTTTAATGTCATTATTTTCTGGATGTGTGAAAGTGTCTCGAATTCCTCATTTATATCTAATTGGCTATTTTGTTTCATTTATTCCACCAGCTTCTATCTTTCTTGTGTTTGTTGCTCCGTCAACATCGTACAAGGCACTATTTAAAAAGGCGATTGTCGGTTGGCGACGGTGTGTGTTTCGTTCATGAATTTTTTTCTTGACACAAACTATGGCCCGACTGAACATCTCATTTTATTTTGCTTTGTATTTTGACTAGTATATGTTGCTTGTGACGTTTCATGTCAAGTTTACTTTTTCATTATCTACTTGTAACAATAAAATCGAACATATAATGTGTTATTTATCGTCAATCAAAATTATCGTGATAGCCTTCCTCTATTTTATTTACCTATGCTGTTGCCTCGATCTTCTATACTTTAGAAGTGCACTTTCAGTGTCCCCTTCTCTACACTGATAAAAAATCCGAGTAGTGATCTACCCCTGCACTTAAAAACTTCGTTAATAAACTGTTGAAGGTTTTTTTTTTTTTTGGTAACATCGCTTTTATTGATGGAAAATTGACAATACTTGTACATAACAGAAAAAGCAAAACATAAACAAAACAACGTACATTAT